CCAACTACATTTTCACCCTCTTTTAGTCTTCCAGTTGTCGTTTCACCTCCCCTACCGCTCTGACGACGTTACCATTGTTGCAAAATTTAAAGATTCGACGAAAGAAGCAAAAAAACGGAATCGGAGGTAGCTGGGAGTGAGGGGAGTTGAAGGAATGGAGACCCTGTTTAGGTTCGATGATGAGTGAATTTCTTCGTACCCATACACGAACCCGGATGCCCGGGTTTCATCCGCTTTGGGGCCATCCCTAGTCTGTTCCCTCTCCTCCAAGCTTTTCCGTTTTTCGCAGTGGTAGCAATAGGTTCTGCAACTGCCTTACTGGAAAGAGTACTCCCTTCGCCCAGGTTGTTCTTAGTTTTAACCAAGTTCTGAGGATACCAACTTATACTAGATGGGTGAAAACCTTTGTAAAAAAAACTTTGTTCTGTAACTTACTGGAGAAACAGTTGGGCCAGCAATGAATGTTCATCAAAGTATCAGTTTCGTATATGTCAAATGAGCAGCAGTTATCTGATCAAACGAACTGATGAAAACTACTCATCAAAAATTTTTCGTGGTGGATTACCGATCCTATACTCAAGCCGATCAGAGAGGACGAATTGGATTCCGTCTCTTACACAGCTTCCAGTCCAGAACTTCAGCCTTTGACCGTCTTCGATTCTAACCTTCCGTAAACATGAGTTTGCTGCAAGACGTATGACTCCACTCCATCTTAGTTGCAACTCCAACTCGATGGATGAAGTCTTCGATTCCACAAAATACATCAATATAAAGTGGTTAAATTTTTTTTCAATCAACAGTAACTTCAATTGTGCAATATCGTCAAAATAATGAGAAGAGCTATACTGTAATAGGAACAGAAGATCGATTTTCCTGATTGTGTACTGCCTTCAGGAGCAGGACTCGTCGGTGAAGTGACAGGATTGTTTGGCAGAGACGTGCTTGTCCATGGAGGGATACTCGAAGTTGGATTAACCACAGTAGAACTACTGGAATACGCTGGAGAACTGGACGGCAACGGTTGAGTACTCGTCGGTGTTGCTGTTGTTCCATTAGCAATTGAAGGTGTGACGGGAGTAGCCGGAGTACTCGTAGTTGATGAAGTTGTTGTTTGTACATAAGGAGTACTGTAATCCAACCTCTGGACCCAATTGTAGATCATTTGAAGAGCCTGAGCTGGTCGATCTAGTGGCACAAAGTGTCCGGAGCCCTATAAATGTTCAATTTTGACTAGAATTCCATAAAAAAGAGAGGTTTCAGACGCTAGCCGTTCCTTTTTGGAATGCGCCTACACATTCGACATCCAGTCGAAGTCGTAATGACGTTTGTATGCTTATTCGGCCTCTACAAAGTTTAGCGATGGATAGCCAATGTAAAATACAGAGTGGCATTTGCTATTCTCCTGAATGAGCCAGAAGGAATGTCCTCGTTGGTCCTAGCCGATAGGCAGCTGGATCCGGTTTTCATCTCAGGTTTAAAAAGTTGTAACCGAATTTTCCACCACAAAGACAAACTCTATATTATAGAAATCCAGTTGTTAATATGTAGTGATCTGTTCGGGATCTAGGGACTATTTGAAAAGCCTGATCCTTATGAGGAAATGAATCCAATTGTTTATAGCGGCACAACTCTGCTGCAAAGACTACTAGCGTTCCATTTTCTAAGACAAGATTCTGAAGGTTCTCTGAGCGGCACTTCTCATAGTTAAACGGTGCCGCATCCTGACCTACTAGCACACATTCATTCCTGACCCAAAGTTTCTATTGAATGTATAGGAGTCACCTACCTTGACTGTAAGCACGTCAATGTTCTTGGGATACTTCCTTACATAGCCTCCTAGAGTGCTCAAATATTTCGGGCCAGACTGGTAGTACCATGGTTGCCGTTGTTGAAGCTGAAAATAAAACCTTCTCGAGAGAGCTTCTATACGTTCTCCTCTATCCCCATAGCTACTTCAGAGCAGGAGGGTGTACTGAAAAGTGCGTTGTGAACGTCGCAACGCAACCGCGCGCGTGTTCGAGTTGAGATTTACATCAGGTACCTTCTATACCAGGTTTGTTCTAGCCTCCACTAACGGTTAGCCTACAGTGAATGCACAAATCAAAGCCATTCGAGTGGGACCACGATGAGCCACTCAAATGTCTTACACAATGAGATCATGGATGCAGGTTGTACCGGATGACCCCTCTACATGCTAACTGCAAACACTACTTTTGTAGAATGCAGGTAAAACAATCTTGTGATCAGAGGGAAAACCTACGCCAAGATTCAGAGTACTGCCGAAGTACTGTGTGGTGAACCATTCTGCACCCATCCAGTTGCACATAGTGTCCACATCTCCGCTGTAGAGCAGAATGGCGAAGTTACTGGACGCATAGTATTGGCTGCAATGAAAGGGTTCAAAAAAAGGTTGATGAGTCGCTCGGGCTCCACAGGGAGAGTATCGAGCAAAGAAAGAAGGATAGCAATGCCATAAGGACTTACTGGCTAGCCATTACCTCTTACTAATATTTTCGACATTTTTTCAAACTGAAGATTTCAATCATAATCTTCACGTGTTGCCTCAAGGGTAATTTCTTTATAAGCTCAAGTTCCAACAGCTTCTTTTGTACAGAAGAAGGTCTTCGTACTCGAAATTTGTTTAACATACATGCTGTTGCTACACAAACCGTAGGTGAAATTGAAAATCTCCTATTGATCTATCTGACTGAGTTTTTGAAAAGAAGTGGCCTACCTAAAAAAACCTTCCAGCATAGCATACCTTACATCAATCCATATTAAACAATTACAATAAACTTCAGACAGTACTGTACTACCTGTTAATGATGAAGTCGAAGGAAGCCTGAGATGTAGGATTCGTCTGATTGTAGACAGAGATGATATTACTAAAAAGTGTACGTTAAGAAGTAGACCGTAATTTGGCAATAGGCATGGGTTAGCATGCTACTACGAACTATCCAAGCGGGACCCTCCCTGCTCTTGAGTCAGTCAACTCAAAAAAATATTTGAAGGTAGACAAATGTCCGACGGTCAACCCTCTAGTAAATATTCTCAAACAACTCATTTTCAAATGAATGACTTCAGTGGCTTAGGCCCTACTAGTTGTGTAATATATGTAGATAATACACTTATTTCTTTCATGATTTCCTCCTTTCATTCGGAGACCTGCATTAGATATGAATTTATGATTTTTTCGAATTTTTACAACAGTTATATAACCACACATAGAATCTCAGTCTCCCAAACACTCCAGGTTTTTGTTATTAGTATTTTATTTTAAGTAACTCCTCTAAATATGCATACTACTGATCATCGATTATCGATTACTAGGTAGCAAAACTGTGGCACTGGATTCCACTTCTTTCGATAGTTGATTCAACCGCTTACCTATCAGCTTGCCATGTAGGGGTTGTTGCTGGAATGTGCAGAGCTTTCTTTACTGAATCTTGATTCATATATTTCCTTAGGGCATCATTCATGTAGCAATAGTATCCCATATAGGGATCCGATGAATCGTAATTATTTCCAGTCTGGAACATTCTTCTTGAAAATCGACCCTTGTCAACTCTCCTACCAATCAATAAATAGCTTTGACAGAAAAAAACTAAAAGTCTACTTTGAAGGATATCGAGATCCGTCAATTTCGTGGAACTTACCCATGTATCGCCAACTGGGGAAGTACCGCTACCAACTTTGAGGGTATAGCATTGTTGGTAGAGGTTGTAGGGGTCAAACGCGTTGAGCAATATGTTCATACCTTGTTGAACAATCTGAAAATCAATAAATATTTGTAAAGAGTAATATGAGTGGAGTGCAAGTAATATGACTGGGTAATCTTGCTGCAACCTTGCTTTTTATAATATAGCGGAGGTAGCGCACTAGCACTGAAGGAACTCACTCACCCTACCCCACCCTCCCCCCAATATAGGTACAACCCGCTAAGCCAATCAGGGGATCCCCAGAATTATGGGAGCATAAGAGACTCCCCTCATGATGAATGAACGGTCATTAGGTCTGTAGCTGTTTCCATTTTAGGTGCTGTCCATTTCCTTGAGCACGCCATACTCGCCTGTTATCGCACAACACATAGCATGCAGCACGGTACGACCGACGAAATTGCCAGCGCCCGGACGAACATAGTGCCACATATATTTGTGGTTGAGAGAGCCATCCCTTAGCTCCTTAGCTACCCATCAATCAGCCCAGTTCAGAAGCACATACTACCTAGCAAACTCAGACAACTCACTGTCAGATGAAACCCGGTCCGCAATGGAGACAGACAGAAAGAGGCTCATTAATTCTCACACCTCTCTAGACAAGGGAAAAGCGATCGTTCAAAACCTGCTATTGTGAATACATGAATGTACAAAAGGATACTAAAAACCCACATAACTATAACATTTGTCGTTAGGATCACCCCCCAAAATCATGCCATTCCATGAAGTGATATGTGAATCCAGACGACAGTCCATCTCATTTGTCACATCGCCACAGCACAGATCGATAATAGTTTGATAAACTCTGAAACGATTAATTTATCGAAAAGAAGCTGTCCGTAAAAGTTTAGTAGAGTTGGGGGCTCTGGAATGCGCTGATGTAGATGTTTACTACGGAAACGATATCACTCAAGCATCCTAAAAGCAAATTCCCCATGCCTACATTTTTAGTAAACGATCCTTAAAGGCACGGTTCACGATAAAAAAAGTTACTGAATTCTCTTTAGGAATACTCAGTGCTCCCCATGAGTGGTAGAAGAGACCCTCTCGCTCCCACAATCTCGGCGCTAAGGGCATAGTAGAAGCCCCGTTGCTGCCGTAGTTCGCTTTCCCGCCCCTCGATCGGTGTCACGTTAGACGAGTGTCGAGACAATACAGATTGCTATTATTCGTTCTAGGACCCGCGCACAATCAGCGAATCGCCGAGTGATGGACGATGTTTTTCTCCCATCCTTTTTTCCTCTGTTATTCTTTTTGCTGCCGCGATCCCTTATTTAATTTCCTACTCCTAGAGGCTGAAAAAGGTGAGCTACTTCCGCTGTTACTAGGGGTTTTTTTATTTATTTATGTATAAGAGTGAATGGATTTTTGCTTACCATAGACTGTTATTCGCACCAGGACCCACACGCACGGAGTGAGACGTAT